CTTTCTTCTTTCAGATGAATACAATTGGAGTTGTATTAAAAAAAAAAATCGTGGCTCTTCCAAGCTTTATAATGGCAGCTACGCCTACGTCATCCGCCGGAATGAACGCTTGTACGACAGTTAGCGCAAGCTAGAGATTACGGTTTATAAAGCTTTAAATATGGATGTTTTTCTGAAATCAAATACGCATCGATTCGCCTCAGGAGGCCTTTATTCACCCCTCGGAGCCATGTGAGACACTTTTTATTATTGATGGATGGATGCACTTTATTAGACTTCTTTTGGACTATTGAGAAAAAGAAAGAAAAAAAACACCCATTCACTGCCATTATAAAGCTTTGAAGAGCCAGGACCATTTTTAATATAACTCCGATTGGATTCGTCTGAAAGAAGAAAGTCATATACACCTAGGATTCCAAAACGTTTTGTAAAATATTTATTTTAAATAAAATATAAAATGTTAAGCACAGTAAATTTTCTTTAACTCATAACTTTTTTACACTTTTTTTTTTTTTTTTTCACTCCCACTTCAGCATTCAATAATCTGCTGGGTGTCTTTTTTAAAAACAATTTCAGGTCTGATTCCAAAGCAATCATAAATTCAAAAAGGGGGATGATGGTTAACAGGATAAGGATTAATCGTTTGTGAGAAACCGTCTCGGTGCTATTACTGTAGAACAAAGTGTTACTGATTGCATGTGACTCATATGGACACAGTGTTTGTCACACACAGTCTGACTGCAGTACTCATGTTACGTGTTGATTTGATTGCTGCTTCAGTTTGCTCTGTGGTCAGTGATATCACAGTGTGAAATTGTGTCTGTGGTCTCCTATTTAGATGAGCCTCTAATCTCGTGTCTCTTGCTGTGTGTTTGGTCTCTCTGTTAGAGCTCTGAGCGCTCTGGCCATGGTGCTGCTCAGTCCTGCCTTCACCATCCTCTACTGCGTCTTCATCTACCAGGAGCTCATCGAAGCGCCTGTCAGCGTCAGCGAGGGCTGGATGCTCTTCCTCTCGGTCATCTCGCAGGGCATTCTTGATCACGCTCTCTACGGATCGCTCGTATATCCACTCTTAGCCCTTTTCGTTTATCCCTGCTGGCTAATGTTCTGGAACATTCTTTTCTGGAGTTAACTGTTCTGAAATGTCACGAGTCGCTTCCGATGGAGCCGTTTTTAAAAGAATGCCAATCATGAAGATTTATTGTTCATCTGTGGGCTTTATCTGCTGTTAGGGATTGGCGTTAGGAAGATCTAGGACGATGTCAGGCCCAAAGAACGGTCGGGTCATTTAATGGTGTGGCTTCAGAGTACTTTAATCCAAGTGTTTGAGTTTTGGGGAAGGGGTTTGCATGAAGACACATAATGAATTATTACAAGAAAGCAGAAATGTTCAAATTCAATATTGTTACCAGATGTGTGGACATAATGGTTAATTTTTTACCTTATTATAGTTTGCGCAGTTTGGCATTTTGAACTCTGGGGTACTGGAAGCTTATATTTAATATGGTTTGATATTCGTAATTGTACAAAATGATCGTTTAACTCAACTGAATTCTCTGTGGACATCACAAAAGGCAGAAACGAGAAGAACGCTCGACCTTAAAGAGCAAGTTTCCAAGACTTTGATGCATTATTCAGTTTGTTTCAGGCAACACTGTATTCATATGCTCTGATGTATTATGCACATAGGCCTTTGATTATTAAATGTGATTAAAATAACTTAAAATTATAAAAGTGTCACCATTACTGCTGCTTGTGTGTGTGTGTGCATTTATATAAAAAATCAAGCTTTCCCACATCTCAAGAGTTAATAAATTAATAAAACCTTAAGATTACGAAAACAACCATTTGAATACTAATACAAAATAAATTTATAACGTCCAAATGTAATGCTATGTTACTATATACATAGTATAGTACTATAGTATACCATATATGTGTGTGTAGGTCATAAACAAGGACTGTCTGTGTTATGAGATGTAAGGGGAAAATATAATTAATCAGGATCAATAAAATCTATTTGGATCAAGTAACTGATTTGGGGGATTCTTTATAGACTTGTTCTCAGAGGTCAGACCAACACTCATCCAGCAAATATTTAGTGAGAACGTCTATAGTCCATAGAGGGAGATTTCTCTTTTGGCCATATATAATCCCCTAATACTGATCCGGCAAAGCATTTAAACTCTTCTAACAAACACGCACACACATGTAGTTTAGATGAGAGTTAACGCTGAAGCAGAGTGAAGCATAAAGTTATGACCGTATTTGAAATTTTGCGCTCTGGCTTGTGGTCCTTTCTGATTCCATTTCTTCTTTGCAACTCTATACTATACGAAATAAGGCTCATGGCGTAAGAGGCTGAAAAACAATGTGACAGAACGGACTAGACATCCTGATTTGAAATGCAAAATTGTGTCTTATAAACTTCCGTATATATGTGACCCTGGAGCACAAAACCAGTCATAAGGGTCAATTTTTTAAAATTGAGATTTATGCATCCTCTGAAAGCTGAATAAATATACTTTCCATTGATGTATGGTTTGTTAGGATAGCACAATATTTGTAAATCTGGAATCTGAGGGTGCAAAAAAATCTAAATACTGAGAAAATCATCTTTAAAGTTGTCCAAATGAAGTTCTTAGCAATGCATATTACTAATCAAACATTAAGTTTTGATATATTTACGGTAGGACATTTACTAAATATCTTCATGGAACATGATCTTTACTTAATATCCTAATGATTTTTGGCATAAAAGAGAAATGTATAATTGTGACCCATACAATGTATTGTTGGGAATTGCTACAAATATCCCCCAGCGACTTAACACTGCTTTTGTGCTGCAGGGACACATATGTAACCTTGGTTCCCCAAATAAGGAACGTATTCTACTTGTTTTCTCGAATAGAAGCAAGTCTAGAGCGAGGTAATCGTTCTCAACACGTGTAAATACACACGAGAGCTCAGATTAAGCCACAGAAACCGCTCCCGTGGTTTAACACGTTTTAAACACTCACATGCAAATTCAAGCTGTCACAGATGAAATGTGAATGTGAGTTTAGACGCACTAGGAAATATATGTGTATGGCTTACTTTGAAGCTGATAATAATGACACGATGGGATGATAGTCTGGCTGTGAACTAGTTTTCAGGGCAAAACATTGTTTTTCTTCTGATGAACACAAATGAAGACATTTTGAAGAATGTAACCAAACAGTTTCTTGTCTACTATGTTATCAACATTCTTCAAAATATCTTCTTTTGGAACGACTTTGAAGGTTGAGTGAATGATAACATAACTCATTTTTTGGTTGAACTATCCCTTTAAGTGTTGACCTTTCCACAGTAGTTATTCAAAGACGATGCACGCTTCTCACATGCTGTCCTTTTTCAATTAATGAACCGTTGAACATGCATGAAGAAACTCGAGATAAAAAAACGCCACTGGGTTAGCAATTTCAATTATGAGAAGCCAGTGGAATTACAAGCAAGCATGCAAGAAATAAATAAAAATGCATTTTGACTTGCCACCTTTTATAGATATGGATTTGATAGACACAATATGTTATAATAGGCTGTATCATATATATATTTTGAATGTTATGTTTTTGTCCAATCTCTCATAAATGCTGTTTTAAGAGGTACTCGTGCAGAAGTGTTCTTTGGCAATGCTACGCTTGTTTAGTTCGGCTGTGCTGCTGCAACAAGCATGCTTCACCGTTAATACAAATCTGTTCAGGAATGTCATAAAAACAGGAAGCTGCTGCAACAAAACCCTTTATACTCGTGTGACCTACAAAACGTACGAAATGAAATAAGCAGCACTGGCTTAAAAAGGGCATAAAAATAGGTTTGGTGCATATGAGACTTTTTTGAGGCCAGACAATGTGCTGGTTGTGCTGCAATATAATATACACCGCATTTCTTCATCAAAGAGCATTTGGAGACTAAACATAGTGGTTTATTTTGTTAGACTATTTTAACATTTACATTTTACTACCACAGATTTGACAGACTTTTGTTAGTGTTAAATATAGAAAGAGAATACACTGACTTTTGTCATGGAATCCATTTTTTCACTCTCTCTATATATATATACAAATATATACAGTAGTCAACATTGGAAGTGGATCAAAGCCTTTCATCAAAGTTGTCCTAAAACCTAAAACCAAAATGCTTTCTTGTCTTAGGACAACTTTAATGATCATCTTCAAATGTTGACTACTGTATATATATATATATTTATATGTGTGTGTGTGAGAGAGAGAGAGAGAGTGTGTGTGTGCGTGTGTGTGTGAGAGTGTGTGCGTGTGTGTGTGTATGTGTGTGTGTGTGTCTGTGTGTGTGTGTGTGTCTATGTGTGTGAGACAGTATGTGTGTGTGTGTGCGTGTGTGTGTGAGAGTGTGTGCGTGTGTGTGTGTATGTGTGTGTGTGTGTCTGTGTGTGTGTGTGTGTGTGTGTGTGTGAGAGAGTATGTGTGTGTGTGTGTGTGTGTGTGTGAGAGTATGTGTGTGTGTGTGTGTGTCTGTGTGTGTGTGTGTGTCTATGTGTGTGAGACAGTATGTGTGTGTGTGTGCGTGTGTGTGTGAGAGTGTGTGCGTGTGTGAGTATATGTGTGTGTGTGAGAGAGAGAGAGAGTGTGTGTGTGTGTGTGTGTGTGTGTATATATGTATTTATTTATTTTTTTACTGTTTATTTACAATGTTTTTTTTTTACTCTCCTAATAGATTTTAAACTGATGTGGAAATATTCTAAAACTTGTTTACAAGTGTGCATTGTTATGAAAACGGCTGCATATGAATTTCAGTGTTATTATTGGCTGAATAAGGTCTTTGTTGGGGGTTTTGTCAGCTGATTAATGTTTCTTATGTTGTACAATCACATTTTGTGCACCTGATTGCATCAGCTTTCAGCTGCGTGAAAATCTCAAATCCTATTTGAAGGAATGGTTATTGTAGCTGGCATCTCCGGCTCCTGTACAATGGGCTTGTTGTTTAGTAAATGCTGCCATTGGCTGTAACAGGAGTCAAAGTTAGTCTGAGTAAACCTGTGCAAGAGTATAAAACCCCATAAACTCAGGGCTCTGCTGACGAACCCAGAAGAACAAGCCGAGTCACAGACGCGAGACTGTCCCAGCAGAGATCATGGCTAGCCGGTAAGTGACTTTCTTTTTATTCTCAAGCTTTGACATATCTGGATGAACAGTATATTTTGGATTTATGCTGTCCTGTTTATGTCATTGGAAACATGTATGTAGTGATGATGTAAAATGGCAAAATCCGTGCATTGATTCTCTCAGATTTTCCATCCTTTGTATTTGAACATTTTTTCCCTTCACTTTTCAGTTTTGAACACCCTGCTGGAGGATATAAGAAAATCTTTGAGACTGTGGAGGAGCTGAACGAACCTCTTCCAGCAACCGTCACGGGTATTTTCTTCTGTTTTCATGACGTTTTTGCCATAATAATTGAAAACATGGGAAAAAAATTATGTTCCTTTGTAAATGTATTTTAATATCCACCACTCAAATTCATCCGATTTAAAAAAAAATTAAAAATTAAAAAATGATGTGCTTGTTTGATGACAAAAACCCTTTCCAAGATGAAATGTTGCAGATGAATTTTAGTTTTTTGAAAAAAAAAATATATATATATATATATATATATAAATTCTTATTTATTTTTATTTCTATTATTTATTTATTAGGATATAAGAAAATCTTTGAGACTGTGGAGGAGCTGAACGAACCTCTTCCAGCAACCGTCACGGGTATTTTCTTCTGTTTTCATGACGTTTTTGCCATAATAATTGAAAACATGGGAAAAAAATTATGTTCCTTTGTAAATGTATTTTAATATCCACCACTCAAATTCATCCGATTTAAAAAAAAATTAAAAATAAAAAAATGATGTGCTTGTTTGATGACAAAAACCCTTTCCAAGATGAAATGTTGCAGATGAATTTTAGTTTTTTGAAAAAAAAAAATATATATATATATATATATATATAAATTCTTATTTATTATTATTACTATTATTTATTTATTTTTTACATTTATTTGTAACTGTGCACCTGCATTTTTTTCTAGATGTGCATTTGTTTTCTAGATTTTCAATAGTAGTGGTACATTTCTGGAATCAGCTTGAGTTGCATTTAAACTGGAGCTGCTCATATGTACTAATCATCATTCTCCAGTGTATGGATAATCATAGTCCTGAAGAAAAACACTTGTGCGTAATGTGCGTTGTTTGTAGGCCGCATCCCCTCGTTTATAAAAGGCAGTCTGCTCCGTCTGGGCCCCGGTTTGTTTGAGGCCGGATCGGAGCCCTTCTTCCATCTGTTCGATGGCCAGGCCCTCATGCACAAGTTTGATTTCAGCAACGGACAGGTCACGTATTTCCGCAAGTACGTCAAATAATCTTCACGTTATTGTGTTGCTTCCTGCTCCAGTTACCTCTTTAAAAGAATACAATGCAAAACCTTTCAGTGTTATTTTTGTATCATTGAGATTATATTATTATATTGAATCCGTTTTTTATTAATTTCAAGTTTTAGTAAATGTAATAATCAAATAATCTTTTTGTTATTGTGCTGCTCTCATCAGTGTTATTTTTCCCCCTGTGCTATCATTGAGATACTATTATATTTTTGAATCAGGTTTTTATTTATTTAAATTTTACTTAAAGTTTTAGTAAATTTGTTTAATGATCAAATAATCTTTCCGTTATTGTGTTGTTTCCTGCTCTAGTTAACTCTTTAAAAGAAAATAATGCAAACTTATCAGTGTTATTTTAGTATCGTTGTGATACTATTATATTTTTATTAATATTTTAGTTTGTGTTTTTGCTATTTTTATAGTTTAGTTTTTAGTAGTTTAGTAGTATACAGTGTGTATATATACAGTATATACAGACTAGCGGTCAATAGTTTGGGATCAGTAAGACTTGAAATGTTTTTAAAGACGTGTCTTCTGCTCATCAAGGCTGTGTTTATTTGATCAAAAATACAGAAAAAAACAGTAATCTTGCAAAATGTTATTACAATATAAAACAATGGTTTCTATTTTAATATCCTTTAAAATATAATTTATTTCTGTGATGCAGCGCTGAATTTCTATCATCATTACTCCAGTCTTCAGTGTCACTTTAATACGCTGATTTATGATTAGAATTATCAATGTTGTGCTGCCAAATATTATTTTGGAAACTGTGATACTTTTTTCAGGATTCTTTGATGAATAAAAAGTTAAAAAGAACAGCATTTATTCAAAATATAAATCTTTTCTAACAATATAAATATTTGCTGTCACTTCTTAACACATCCTCGCTGAATAAAAGCTTTAATTTCTTTCAAAAAAAGAAAGACTAAAAATGTACTGACCCCAAACTTTTGAACTGTAGCGTATATTGTTAGAAAAGATTTCTATTTTAAATAAATGCTGTTCGTTGTAACTTTTTATTCATCAAAGAATCCTGAAAAAAAGTATGAAGCAGCACAACAGTTTCAAATATTGATAATAAATCAGCATATTATACTGATTTCTGAAGATCATGTGACACTGAAGACTGGAGGAATGATGCTGAAAATACAGCTGCGCATCACAGAACTACATTACAGTTTAATGTATATTAAAATAGAAAAACGTT